GGGTAACGAGAAGGGTTCAGTGTTTTCAAAAGCATCATTTGCGGCGACTTCTACCGGTAAATTTCCCAGATTCTATCATTTTCAAAAGAATCATTGTGCATTCCTTCCGCATTTCAGTGTTGTGCCTAATATCTATTGCGCCTCGTTTCGCTGCTTCGGTATTTTCCTCTGTTATTTGTCACGTGGTTATATATTGAACAAACCAGATAACGACGTGGACATTGACGACCCTGATTTCTGGGATAAATGGGCGCAAAAGACCAACGTCGATGTTAATGAAATCGTTGACGAGGCCAATCTCATTGTTCACGAACCGCGGCAGCGACGTCAAGGTAAATTGCGAGAAATATCTAGTTTGTCTGATTATTCAATTTAGTCTTACTCACCTAAGCTTCTTTTCAGTGCAAAGATTCGGGACTCGCCAACCAGAGGGGTCAGTGTCTTCTGATGTCGACGCTGCGGAATCGGACAACAATGACGATGAAGAAGGTAAACAAGATTGGTTATTATGATACATGAAGCACGTGGAAGGAAGGCCGTTCAGCTTATGATCAGGAGGCTAGATAATAATTACGTTCACAATGTATATCTTCATTCAGGTGATCGCGTTGGAAAAAAGAAAAATGCCGATGCTATGCGACCATGGAGTCTTTCTGAGAAGACAAAGTACGAGAGAAAGTTAATGATTTATGGATATGGCCGATGGGATCAAATGAAAGGCAAGTATTGCACTATGCTTAACAATCATGCTTGTAGGAGTGACTCGCATCGTTGCAGTACGTAATAATCATTTTATGCACGTAGCCCATTTCCCGCGCCGCAGCGAAATGGATCTGAAGGCCGTGACAAGGGCGATCATGCGAAAAGTCCTTCCTATAATAGACCGCTCTAACGAGGAGGACAACAAGCTCGCACAGGACATTGAGATGATTCTGAGTAACGACGACGATGACGATGCTGAGGACGATACTGTCCCCTATGTCGGCGCCACCAAGCGACAGATTGCCGAGTATCGAACGTTTCTTATTAACGCACCAACAGAGTATGTGGAGCACATTGAGAAAAAGGGTAAGGGTTAAAATAAACCATTTCTACGTTTTGTAAAATGAACTATTATTTCCTTGAACCAACCCAGCTCTCAAACACTGCCCACACTTCAGGTCGAAATTTTGTGCTCCGTATCCAGATGTTATTTATGATCAGGGACAAGATTGTGCCTGGGGATTGGGAAGAGGCGAAACAGCTTCAGATCCCACGCGTAACGGGTAACTACCATATTTACTCTAAATTGAATTTTCTTGTGATTCCACCCACGTCCAACTTCATGAATTTATTGTATACGTATTAATTTGATTTAGGTAACCCCCCAGCCGATTGGTGGGGACCAGACGAAGATCGCGATTTGCTTCTTGGCATCTGCAAATACGGCTACCAACAGTGAGTTAGGCTTTCTTGCTTGCAATTATAATAAAATTCTCATTGAACGACATGATTTACACTGATTATATATTTTTTACTATTTTTCCAAGGTATTTAGCCATGCGAAATGATCCTGAATTCTGTTTCTACGGCCGCAAATTCGACGATAGCCATGCTGGCACACTGGAAGACGACGATGCTGTGCCGCCACCCCTAGTCGTGAAACCTGAGAGTAACGCGGATATAGCCGACACTTCGATGTCGCAGGATACACAAGATAGCATGCACACTTCGAACGTTCCAAAGATTGCGATTCCTAGCGAACCTGTACCGATGGACGTCGATGTTGAGCCAAAGCCAGCGAAAACAGTTGGGGAAGAGGTACATATGATAATTTTCAGGCTATTCCTTATATCACATTAGCATTGCTTATTAATATCGATGGCGTTGATGGGTTTTTTGTAATAATAATAATAATAATATATATATATATATAATGATAATGATAATAACAATATTATTATTATTATTATTATTATAAATCTAGGGACTCATTTGGCCAACAAAGGCCGATATCGGTATGCGTCTTCGACGCGTAATTGCTGCCTTCCAACGTGAGGAAGCATCTGAATCAAGAAGGATGAAAAACGTTGAAAAGGAGAAGGCGAAAGAACAGCAGAAGCTAGAGAAAATAAGGCAAAAAGAGGAGCGCATCCAAGAAAAACAGCGTCAGAAGCAGCAGGAGTCATCGAATCGATGGAGTAAGAAAAACAAAAATGACTTCTTCAGGACGATCATGTCCTTTGGTGTAGAGAATGTTCCGGGTGATCCGGTAATTCGTTGGACACGGTTCAAAGAAATCGCAGGCTTACAAAAGAAAACAGACGAATCTCTTGATCTATATTATCGTAAGTTAATTGTAGCCTGCGAGGATGTGGTAAAGCGGGAAGCGAACGCGCCGGCGCCGGCGCCGGCGCCGCCACCGCCGCCACCGCCCCCTCCTCCCGCAACAATTACTGCCACGGCGGAGTTGAAATCACCAGCAATGACAGTGACGACACCTTCTGGACAGTCGATCGACGTCAGCAGAGAATCGAGCGTGGAACCTGTCCCGTCCGCCCTAGGCCGGGAATCACCGCCGATTGCCGACCAGGATAACGATCAAGACAATGACGAAAGGCACGAAGTTGAAATAATTTCATTGGACAAGGCGAAACGTTTGTTAAAGCGAGTGGATTCAATGAAAACCATTCGTGAAACAATCATGCCACATCCGGACTTGAACGATTTCCTGTCCAACGCCAAAAAGACTTCAGGTTTACCAAAGTATGTTTGATTCTGTTTCTTCTTAAGTGCTATATACTATCACTATTGAAACTGTAATCCTAATTTGAGACTACAAATGTATTTGACGTTCACAGTTGGTGGCGCGTCCCAACCCATGATAAGGCCTTCCTGGAAGGTATCTGCAAGCACGGTGTCAATCGCAGCGATCTGATCGCGAACGATCCGGATCTGCCATTCCTTGCCATTCGCCAACGCTTTGAAGACAGTCTAAGATTGAATCCCCCAGAGGCGGACGAGAATGGCCTTGTGCCCACGGTGGACGACGAGTTTGCTTGGCCCAAGGATCTGGTCATTGCACGGCGTATTGAGATGCTTTGCGATTTAGTGCTCAAGCCCAAGGTAAAGAAACAGAAGCAACCGAAACAGCCTGGAGCTGGCAGAAAACGCAAAACCCGCGATGTGGATATGAGCCCTTCACGCCCGGTCCCAGTAGATTATGCTGTTACCAAGCATCAGGGCCTGAAGCTCACGTTGAAGTTGCCCAAGCACTCGCCGCACTCGCCGCACTCGCCGCACTCACAGCATTCGCCTCACTCGCAACCCTCGTCGCACTCGCAGCATGGCGCACATCCTCAATCACCCCAACATCATCACCAGCGCGCTCCCAGCTACAGCACGGACGAAATGTCATCGAACGATCTGTCGTCGGATACAGGAGAGGACACGGACAGGATCCTTGAGGAAGCGACGGCGCGAGTCAAGGCACGCATTCCTACTCCGCTCTCAAAGAAACCACGCATCTCGGTATCTAAGGCGACCTCTAAACATCATCATAGCAGCCATGGCCACTCAGGTCATAGCCATGCTTCTCACAGTGCGCACAGCACCCACAGCAGTTCACATAAATCGTCGAGCTCGAGCAGCAAACTCAAAAAACCCTCCTCGTCCTCGGCATTGCTACACCCGCCGTCGCGGCACCATCACCATTCACCCACCCCGCCGAGGTCACTCGATTCGTCGTCCTCCAAGCGTCACAAGGAGAAAGAGTCGTCGTCGTCACTCAAGCATAGCAGTTATTATAACGGTAGCGACGACGACATGAGTTCGTCGTCAGATTCAGACGGGGAGGAAATGTTGCTTGGGTCGGGTGCTAGCGTGTCGAGTCACAAACATGCGGTGAAGTTGCATGGGAAGAAGTAAGAATTGCGGTGACGTCGTATGCAAACTTTGTATCAAAGAATGGTGACGATTCCAGTTCATAGACACTATATACTAGCTTTGGCTTCAGTTTAATATTATATATATATATATATATCTTCTGTTGTTTTGTTGATTTGCAGGTTTAACATCTCTATGCTGTACTTGTATGTTCGGGGTAGAGAATTGCTTTATATCTTATCATATTTCTTGCATAGTAAGCTTTCTATCAATACAAGATGCAATGGCGCGATTTGTTTTTTTTTTTTTACACTAACAATTGAGAAAGGGAGGATAAATGCATAAACATCAATTTAATTAATTAATTAATTAATTAATTAATTAATTATGATAATTTTGGGCATTTATTCTTTTTTTTGACATAAACTCCGTACCAGCGGTGTTTTTTATTTTATTTTTTTATTTTTATTTTTATTTGCAAACCGAACTCTGACATCTCTGTTACACACCCTATAAAAGACACTCATATATTGGTTTTTTTTTGTACCCCACGTCTCATCCGGTCTATTGCCATTTCAAGAGTTTCATGGACAGAAACACGATTAGACCACCAGAGACTATACCCTCCATAAATGACAGGCCCGACGACTGTAACCAGACGCTCCCCTCGCTCTTTGTCGTGTCTTGGTTCCTCGCATCTCTCGAGGACACGATCGAGCGAATCTCACCGAGAAGCGACGTACGAAAGTCGGCGAGCTCCTGCCTGAACGCTCCAAGGTCGGCGGCGTTGATTGTAGCGCTCGGGTCGGTGAATGGGAGTGCAATGGACATGGTTGGCGAGTCTGGTGGTGGGTGATTGCTTGAAGGATGAATTGGTATAAGGCGTAAGAATATATTGTCGATGCTTTTTTGAGCAGTGAGCCATTCATGAAGTCATATACAGTCACACGATTACATCAGAGGTGAGGTCCTGTAGACTTTGGCGCAGGCATTGTGTGATGATCAGAGTTAAACACTACACAAGAAATAGAAAACGCTCACGAAATGTGATGATTTTAATTTTACTCCAACTTTTCATCTTAAAGTCTATATAATTGAACGATTCCGCCCCGAAAAAAAAAAAAAAAAAAAAAAATTGGAGCTGTCCGGGTTCGAACCGGAGGCCTTTCGTATGCGAAACGAACGTGATACCACTACACCACAACCCCATCAAGGATGATAAGATTGTAAAAACAAAATTTATATAATAATTATACTTAGTTTTTTAGTTGTAAATTGTGCGACAATAAAAACGCGCAGGTGTCGAAATTTAAGATTCACCTCAATTTTTTTACAAACACACAGCAAGTGTTAAATACCAAAGAAGGAGTTTTAAAATTGACTAAAAAAAAAAAAAATGATATAGACCATTGATTAAGAGTGAGGGTTTGATTATCTCATCAATAATAGATCT